ATTGCGGTGTAGGCTTCAATAACTGTACCATTCGTCGTGTAGTACGGCTGATAATCATTCGCTCTTTTCTGTTTTATAGCTTCAATTACCTGACCCTTTCTCTTTTCCAAAGTGTCGGTTCTTCTGTATAACCCGATCTTAGAATCTATTATATGAAATATCATACCAATGCATATAGCGTATACATTAGATTTATGGAATACAAAAGGTTCTTGCTCCCTTATCCAGTATTTAATACATCCAAAATACAACCTCCACTCTGGTGGAAGCTCCTTTATACCATCTGCATCGTTAATCCCCAAAGTTTCATTTAAGATCTCCCTTCGTAAACTTAATGGAATTTTTCTAAGATTGGTTAAAGATGGAAGTTTACAACAGTTTACTGTCTCTATGCATTGTAATTCACGTATTACAATTCTATTTTGATCTCTGATCACGTATCTCATGTAACGTACTTCGCCCTTTATCGCTGATTTTAGAAATCCAAAAATAACGCTAACGATCTTTAAACTTGTTACACTGCTCGAAGGATAATCATCATTTTCAATTTGTATACGACATATATACAATCTGTGAACTATTAAGTCTATGAAATACGATGGAAATTTGCCCAGATGATATTCGTTTACGAACCATTCCGGCAAATTATCGATGGCTTTATTTTGTGGCAATGATTCGTTTATTGTGCTCATTACTTCACATACATCGTAATCTTCCTCCATGCGGATCTCGTCCTCTTCTTCTTCATAAGCTTGTTTTGTGCATTTTAAAACACTAATGTCTCCATGAAATTTAAAACTTCTGCTTAAATGAAGCGTCTTTACAAAAGTGATGTAATCTCTTGGAAATCTTAATGATGTAAGTATTTCAGCTGATGTCTTTATATAACTGTTAATATTGTCCTCTATTAAATCCAATGTGCTTCGTCGCGAAGGTTCGGGTAATGTGATTAAAATCCTGGTAATAGCTGTATCCAAGTTGTACTTGCTTAGCCACATAAAAGTTGCTTCAATCATGCGCTCTCTATATCTTTTTCCTGATATTCTGTTCATGTCCATGTGACGAAAGAACTTCGTGAATGTTCCACGTTTAACATAATCGTTACCTAATAAAATTGCTGCCAATGGTAACATCGATTCATGCAAACCTCTAAATGAATTTAGTAAATATTCAGCTTTATAAATTTTACAACGTTTTACATATCCTTTCCCACTTGAGTGACTAACTACACAAGTATCCAATGTGTTAAACGGTATGTACTGT